TTGACACAATGTTAACGTTAGTTTCAAGTGCACAAGCAATGATTTGACAAGTCTATATGTTATGCTCACCTCAAGTGCAGCTCCTATCTGTCACCACACAGCAGTACCAATGACTATATTCCCTGTGTTGTACCTTTTATCCTAGCGACTTATTCATTCAATCACTGGTAGCCTGTATCTCAAAGTGGAGATAATATTGACTACCTTATACGGATGCTGTGAGAAGTAAATAGTGGGTGATATGTGTGCATAATAGATGGTAATAAATGTAGTTTTTATTCTCACTTTAGAGATTTGTTGATTCTCTGCTACAAGAACACTAAATCAATAGAAAGACATGTTCTGAAGAAAATCTGGAAGGAGAGTTAAGGCTTCTGTCACTTGGCTACAGACCCTTGGTTCCAAGGATAGTAGCGTTCAGGCAGATTATGTTTCTTGATATTCATTAGGTTTTATAATCTTCATGATTTATTAAATTATTAAAATTATATTGTTGATAATAACCAATTACCTAGTTATGGAATTGCCTATATGGGAGGAAATGAACAGTTGTGTGCATAACTTATACCTTGGGACTACTGTTATAACCTACGGCTGAAGTTACCTAGGGTATGTGTATACTTATACACGTATTGTTTCACCTTATGAAAGGTCATTTTATTCAATTTTCTCCTGTTTTGTTATTGTTGCATTCATTTCTTATTTCTTGGAAGACTAAGGGAACCAGAAAATGTTGGCCAGTCTCCTACTTAAATCCCCTATTACCCTCCACTAAACTGGTACAGGGTTTATTTGTGCTTAGTTATCTTTTTATTCAGTAATCTGTAGTTGTTGCGATACTTGATGCATGACTATATGCGTCTGTGAGAACATATTCTTGGCTGGGGAAATGATTGCATGGTCCATTTTACACTTGACATCTCACAGAAGTAAGTACACTTGTCCAAAAGAGGGAGGAAGAAGGGGAAAGAGGAACGAATCAGAGACCTTGAAGGGTACTTGGCTTTTAAGGAAGCACTAGACAGGCTGGCTGCTTTATCAGAGCCTCAGGTTGGGGCCTGAGAGCCATAAATGAGTTCCACACACTTCAAAGGACTTGGCCTGGACTGGGAATATGTTAATATGATAGAGGATTCTTCTGATACTACCTTTTCCTCCCTCAAGTATTCTCCCTCTTCAAACACCTAGGTTTTGAACTAGATTTCTGTGTTTGCATGTGCAATAGTATTTCTGAAACCTTTGCCATTTTTCATTCCTAGGACCAGGAAACTGTAAGTAAGTATTTTAAAAGAGTGTGATAATTCATAAAGCAACTTAATGTTTTTCTCCTAACTCCAAACTCCCTCAAGGGCCTAGTTCTTTCCTGACATTGAATGAAATGTGGGAAGTTTCCATAGTTTTTCTAGTTTCCCCATATAGTAGATTTGAAAGAAAAAAAAAAAAAGCTCAGGTCATAGGCAGTCATAAGAACAGTAATTAAAATGTAAACTCCAGGGATAATGAAAATTCCTTACCTAAATCCGAGTCCACATACCTCCCTTCCCTCAGCTGGGGACCTGCCGTGGTGGATGGTAGGTTATTTCCTTCTCTCATCCCATGTGTTGTATTTCTCCTCATCTGTTCCTTCTCACTTGGCAGCCCCTGGTTCCAACAAGGTTAGGAGGAGGGCGTGGAGGAGTGCTAGGTGTTAGAAAAAATTTCTGTTGACTTATATTCTTTTGAACGGGCATGTTACCCTTTCTGGATAGTTGCTCACAGCTGATGGTCTCTCGTGGGATGTTTTCATGTTTATAGAAAACACCACTTCCCCCACAAGGACCCACTTCTTAGGAGGGGGTGAGGTATCTCCTTGGCTTGGCCACTTAAGTTAAAGCTGTCATCTGGGGCAGAAACTCAAATTACGCCGGGGTTGATCCTGGTAAGTGGTTCATATTTAGACTCTAGGCTTGTACTGCTTTGCTGTTGGCCTTTGGGGCTTAACCCTGTATCAACACCCTGCTGCATGAGAATGGGGACAATGAAGGCAGGAAAGTAGCACAGTGGTTAGAAGTGCAGTCTCTGTAGTAGTTCACGTTCTGGGCCCTTAACTAAATAGCTATGTTACTTGGAGCAACTTACTTAACCTCTCTGAGCCTCAGGTTTTTTTGTCTGTAAGGTGTAATGATAATACCTAATTCAGAGGCTTGTTACGAGGATGAGATGATTAAAAGTTCTGGCACACATACGCTCAGCCAACATGCATTACATCTCACAGATGATTTCTCAGCAACGATGTCCAGGATTTACCCTGTGCTATGAGAAGGAGCAGGTGGTTCAATACAAGACTCAACATTACATGCTCTGGAACAGTTATGAAACCAGTTTTTAAAAACATGCCAGCCAGCTATGTAAGAAGAACTCCTTAAATGAGGGCAATGTTTCCAGTTTCTGAACTGTCTTCTTATATAATTTCTCATCTTTGAGATACTCCTGTAAGCAGGCCAAAAAAAAAAAAAAAAAGGTGTTTCATTCCTCTCTTTATAGATGAGGTGTTTGTAGCAGGGACAAAGGTCAAAATGACAGTGCTGGATTCAGAACCCAGCTCCTCGGACTTTCCAGCGCTCTTCAGACTGCCTTGACTCTCCTCTGCTGTCATAACATTGTTTGTCAAATGAGCCCAGCAGGGGATGGTCGGCATGTTATTCCCTTCCCCCCATGGCAGCAGTTCGGTGGGAGGCCTTAGAAGAGACAAAAGTTTCTTGCACAGGTTTTCATCTGTGCAGGTGGCCTCCCAAGTGAGTGGGCAGGAATGCCTCTGGTGAGGTACAGGCCTGCTCTGTCCCATTAGGGAGCTGGTCTCTCCCTTCCTTCAGAAGGCACCAGTTCTCTAAAAATCACCCCGTTGACATACCATTAACAGAGCAGAACATGTTGACATCCAGCTGTTGCTTTCATTACCAATTTGTTTTAATTGGTCTCACACTGTTTTCTTCTCACTTTTTTGTACTGTGTTGGTTTAACTCTGTCTGCAGCCAGCCTGGCTTGAGCTGTAAACCTTTTATGAGGGGAACTTGCTGATGTGTGGAAAGTCACAGGCAGCTGGCTGGCCTGGCCGGCAAGTCTGGAACTTTCCAGCCCAGACCGTAACCGTTCGGTGATTTTGTTTGCTCTTTCAACATTTCCTTTTAAAAACTGTAATGTCTAAAACTTTAGAAAAGGCGTGCTTCTCTGGGCAGATATCTAACGAAATTTATTCCTAATGCACAAATAGCATATTGTTAAACAGGATTTGGATGGAGTTTGTAATGAAGGATGTTTGGCAGTTCTTGCTTTTGGAAAAACATTTGAGTGATCATGAGTAGGAAATTTGCTGTAGTCAGTGTAATGAATTAACAACTGAGTAGTGGCCCAGGGCAGGCAGTACCCTTGGAGGAGGACAGAAGTCCAGATGGTGGGCTATGATCCAGAAGTTTGGGACATCAGTCAAGAATGCAAGGTGTTTATAAGGTGGCCAAGAGGGAGATAGCAACCCATTTGTAGAAGGCCATCTTTGGTTGTACTTGCCAGTGGTAACTGCTTGCTTGGTGTTGTGAGTGGTGGAGATGATGGTTTGCTTGATCTACAAACAATAATAAGGTAGAACTTATTCATTTTCCACAGCTTAGCTTTGATTCTGTTATATTCAACCTGAGCTTTTATAAAGGGGGAAAAGAAAACACACACACACACACACACACACACACACACACACACACAGCAAAACCAGGGGACAGGGTTCTATTAGGAACCAATGATTCACGTGTGTTTAACCAATATTTATTGAGTAACCCAACATCTTTCAAGTACTGTTATATTTGCACCTAACAGAATAAAACCTGTTGTTTTCCCCAGAGGATTTATTTAAAACATTAAAAATTCTTACAGTAAAAGACAAATAGGTTTTATTCTGTTAGATGCAAATTAGCTATTATACTCGTGTTCACTAAATAAATATCCCCTTCCAAGTTGACAAAAGCAGAACGCTTTCTTTAAATTTTTGTTGTGAAAATTATGTGATTAGTCTATTTTGATACATATGATACAAAGAGATTGGATCCTTATGGAAGACACAAAATCTACTTATTTATTCTGCATGGGCTCCCAGTCATCTCTTCCTAGGGAGTTGTATAGTATTTAATTCTCTCAATAATGTGTGAAAATGCATCTGGAGTATTGTCACCTAGAGGAGTTCACTTAATCTGTAGTGTCCAGAGTTTTTATTGAGGGTTGATCATGTAGGCATGGAGCATTCATGTGGCTGACCTTAGTTACTTAGTTTCTAGGCCCCTCCAGAGGTTAGACTGATAACATGTGGCCCAAGGCCTTGGTCACAAACCACATTGTTAGTATAGACCATCTGGCATGACACAAGGCCCTAGGTGAACAAAGATACTCTTATCTGACAGGAGATCCCAACGGCTTAAAGGTTACCTTCTAGGAGTTAGTCAAAGGCCAGACTTTTCTTTGGAATGTGCATGGTTTGAATACTCCATAGACACTGAATCATCTTTTATTATAGTCATCATTCCAGGGAAGGGACCTTGCCCATTATGTCTTATATGGTACAAGAACAATTTTGTCGGTAAGAAGATTATTGGATTATTGGTCACTGGATAATTTGGGTTAGGTATCATTTATTTAGAGAAATTGTCAGGAGAGCCAGCTGCACCGCTCATGGGGGCCATTGGAGCCTTGGGCAGCTAAATCTGGGTGCAGCCCTCCCCTTCTAGAAGAGGGAAGAGCCTTTTGTCTCATCTGCCTGTAGTGTAGACAACCAAGAGTGAGCGCTGGTCGTCATCTTCCAACAAGGAATTCCTCAGAGAGAATGTTATATCTCTAAGATTCAGGACAGTAAACAGAAGTCACCTAATTTAGGGGAAATTTAAATGTTATTTTGCCTGAATTCAAATTTGGAATATCTAAAAGGAGTTGGAAAATTAATGCTGCAATTGGCTTGACTGCTTATCTTTCTTTTTAGAAGGCAATGAGGAAACATTTCCTTTGTTACTTCCTTCCTTGGTGATTGCCTGTCTTCTTCACCAATATACTAGAGTTACAGAATGTGGTGATAAGTACTTTACAATGGGATTAAATATGGCAACATGGCTAGATCTGCACAAATCTGGAACTCTCATTCTGTTTGTGCTATAGAGTAAGTATCCTTATGTAAGTGTTCTTTCACTTGTGATTTCTTCTACACAGTCCCTCAATCATTCTGCAGTAAAGCTCAGGCTTTTTAGCTCAAGGTTGATGGACAAAATGATGGAAGGGGGAAGGACGTGACTTGCATTCATATATATTGTGTTTCTTAAAACTGGGAAACCTCCATTGCATTATAAAGGTCTAGATGAAAATATGAGGTAATGTTCAGCTGAAACCATCAAAATTATAAGCTCTCCTAAGTTAGCTTGAAAACTCATCAGTAGGATAAAGACTTTAGTTTCTCGATAGCACAGTGGATTGAGATTAGGTGATTATTCATACCTGCCCAAATGTCCCTGGGTAACAAGGATAGGTAAAACCAAGGCAATGTGACACATTTGGAAGTTGCTGAGTTGAATATGAGATGTAAGCAAAACCGTCCAAAGCTGTGATTGAATACTAGGATTAGTCCTTCAGTACATTGGGTTTTATTTTTATTTTTCCAGGCAGGTTAAGATTTTAGAAATGTGACCTCAGTACTAAATAAAACTCATGGGTTTCCATCTGTTCTTTTGGAATCAATGATTTTTGTTGTTGGATTTAGACTGTCTTTGTATTCTCTTGACACTCACAGAACAAAATATGCGTGATTTAGCAATGTTGTTTGCTAGAAAAATCCAACATCAGATGAGTCATTCTGTCCATTAACCACCTCCGTTCTTCACTTTTGTGTGCCGCATGCTTTCTCCAGTGAGGTTTCCCTCATTCGGTGTTGGGCTTGCTTTCCCCTTGAAAAGTAAAGGTTAGTTTCTGTTCTCAGTAGTTCCTCATTCTTTCTCTCTTTGTACCCACTTCCTTCTCTGGTTCTCTCCACAGCTATCCTTATCCAGTCTCTCATTTAGGACTTTTAAATCATCAAGGTGAAAAAGCAAGAATCATGAGTTTCAGAATGAAAACCTTAGATCTATTACCACTAAATTCCTTGCCAAGGATTTTCCAAGCCACTTAGGCATAACAATTGCTCGTTTTTATTACTTCGTTGTGCTACTCTACTTTTTCAATAATTTTGCATCAGGTATATACATGTGCCATATATTTTTATATCCTTTACTTTACTTTTATGATGTCAATTACTGAAAGGTCATTCAAATTTTCAGCTGAACCAACCTATCTGAAAGGTATGGACTACTAGAAGTTTGTTTAAAATTGAAAGGTTTGTTCTTTTCCTTTTTAAATGGAAGGCAAGGAATTAACTATAGTAGCCAGTTGGGGTTTTCTTTAGTTCTGGAAGTGGAGAACATATGTACGTGGTAAACTTTGAGTAGTTAGAGAGTCACATATTTGTAAGGTAAAAATATTCCGGTTGGCAGACATCTACGGTGTTCTTTATAGTCTTTATTATTGAATGTGTCTGATGTTAATTATGTTAAATGTCAGATGTTACATCCAGAGGATTGCCTGAATTATGGACTTGATATATTTTTACTTGATAATCAAATATAAGAAAGCTGAGTTTTACCTTCTTAAAAAGCACAGATAAAGTTTTAAAAACTATTCTGAATTAGCTGGGTGCCTCCAATCTACAGCATCTGGGAGACACTGCAGGTGGCCAAGTGTGGGTGAACTCTGGAGGAAGGCAAATTGTAGTCTGGTTCAAATCTCTAGTCTCTCACAACCTATCTGTAAGCTTTTTGGTTAATTTTTCAACTTTAAGACTGTTTTCTCTCATCAGTAAAATGGGGATGATAAATATATTTCAGAGAGTTCTAATGAAAATATCCATGTAGAATATTTAATACATTGCCTAGTATGTACTAAGTACCTAAATATATAATTATTTTTTGTAAATGTTTACTTATTCAGAGAGAGAGAGAGAGAATGAGCATGGGAGGGACAGAGAGAGAGGGAGAGGGAGGGAGAGAAAGAGAATCCCAAGCAGTCTCCATACTCAGCTCAGAGCTTGATGCGGGGCTTAGTCCCATGGCTGTGAGTTCATGACCTGAGCTGAAATCAGGAGTCACACTCTTTACTGACTGAGCCACCCAGGCTCCAGTTATTTTTTTCTTGTGGGCAGAGTCAGAATTACTTTGTAGCACAACTTTCCACAGTTGAATTAATTCAAGACATTAGGGAAACATTTTGTAAGTCATTCATCACTTAGCAAAGCAGACACATGAGGGTAGTTATTTAAGATGTTTCTGCTTATCGGGGTGCCTGGGTGGCAGAGTTGGTTAAGCATCTGACTTCTGCTCAGGTCATGATCCCAGCGTTTGTGAGTTTGAGCCCCATGTCAGGCTCTGTGCTGACAGCTCAGAGCCTGGAGTCTGCTTTGAATTCTGTGTCTCCCTCTGTCTCTGCCCTTCCCTGCTCACACTATCTCTCTCTCTCTCTCTCTCTCTCTCTCTCTCTCTCTCTCTGTCTCAAAAATGAACGTTAAAAAGTTAAAAAGAAAAGATGTTTCTGCTTATCAAAGGTTATCTAGCCAGACAGTCTTTAGAGATGGTCAATTCATCTGGTAACACCTGCCTCAAACATTTTTATTCTTAAGGACTTAGTTGACACTTAAACGTGAATATGATGCAGAACTTGAAAGCCTCAGTCCCTGGCTCAAAACAATTCAAAGCTCTTTTCTAGAAATAATACTGAAATACTGACTTGTTTTTATACGTGCAAGCATTGTTCTTCTTTGACAGTCGATATAGTCTTTGTCTAGTATACCCAATGGCTGGGCTTCCTCAGAGAGTGTTTCTATTTGTATGTATGTATGTATGTATGTATGTATGTATGTATGCATGTATGTATGTTGTATATATGTATTATCCATCCATCCATCCATCCATCCATCCATCCATCCATCCATCCATTCATCCACCCATACAACCATCCTTTGAATGGGTTATACTTCCCTGTTTCTTTGTAGTCTTTGTGATTTTTCTTGGTTGAAAACTAGAAAGTTAAATATGATGTGTTAGTTTTAGAAATAAGATTAGTCTTCTTCCTCAGGGTTTTCTATGTCTTGATTGTTGAATGTTGAGATCAGATCATCTGTTTAGTTACTTTTCCAACCTAGTTTTGCAATAACTCTATTCCTTGTTGTGTGTGCTCACTGAGGTCTCTGTTCTTTTAGCTCTATTTAGCTAGTATTGTGACAGAGATTTTCTCGAAATCCAGGAGCTCAAACACACACACACACACACACACACACACACACACGCACACACACACCCCTATCCCAGTCTTTGCAGACTGGTTCTGTGCTGTGGCACTTCTTTAACACTTAGCCAGGTCACGTACAACTTTGTCCTAGCCTTCACTTCTTGCTTGCAGTGAGCCTAAAGATCTGCCGAAGGTGAAAGCTTAGGTCCTCCTCTGGTATTTTATGAGTGTGTATTCTGCCCCAAGCATGGGAATGGCTTCCTAAGTTCCCGAGTGTACATGGGTGATTCTGTAAGTGCCAATTCCCCAGGGAAACATTGTCCCTAGCTTTTCCTCCCAGGCTTTAGTGTGTACATATATTACATGTCTCAGCCACAGCCTTTTATCTTAGGTGGCTGTGGACTTTCCATTCACCTTACAATGTTTTAATAGCTATTAACTGTTCACAGTTTATTCTGCACTACCAAGCATACATCCTTCAATTCCACAAAGAAGAAAGCAATCACACCTCGAATTTCATAAAATTGTCATATTTTTATATTTTTTGAGTTTTTGCTTCTTCCCCAATGAGACTTGCCCTACTAGCTGGTTTGTTTCTCAACGCTATTATGTTTTCCATGCTTCAGAGTCTCTGACACCCCTGAGAGACTTTCCTTCCAAGATCATTTCATGACAAGGGCCTGTCATGTTTTCTTAGATAGCCATGGGCAAAGAGCTGTGATCTTTCTGTGCCACAGTGGAAACCAGGGAATACTGCCTTACCTCTTCCACACACCCTGCCTTTGGGTAGGTACTTTCTCTTCTATTGGATTTTTATTTTCAATATCTGCTTGTTATGTAAATTTGTCGATGTGCTACACCTCACTTTTGTTTGCAAGGCACTGAAAGATTTCTTTATTTTTAAGAGGCTCACAAAAACTTGCTTTTGTTTCAAAACCGAAATTTCAAGAGTACTTAGTCAGCAAAGAACTGAGTAATCCTTAAGTCAAGAACAACAACAACAAAAATGCAGACAATAATCAGAGGTTTTACTTAGCTTAGAGCACACAGATTCCTCCATAATTTTTATCAGGTTGCAACACATTATATTAGGAGGTGAATGCTTTAAGAGACTCCTTTAAAGGGACCCTCTTTGACAGTTACATCTCATTCTCTTCTATGTATAAGAGTTGTTTGATGGACCTGGTAAGGTGAATCTGGTATGAAGAGTTGTTTGAGGAATCATACTTTTTATAGTACTTAACAGACATTCAAGTGCCTTCACAGACATTATCCCGTTTGATCCTCACAACGAATAGTGAGATAAGCCTTATTATCACCCTCACCAGCTTCTCCCATTTTCTTTGAATATCTTTTCAATGGAGAAACCAGTTTTCCCTCAGTAAGCGTGTATACACTGACACAGATGCCTGTCCAGACCTCTCGTTTTCCTTTTTTACTGCCACCCAGTCAACTTTCCCTGATTTTCCCAGCTGGCTCTGCACAGTGAGCATTCCTCTCAAAGTCCAGTGGTTCTTAACATTGACTACATATTAAAATTACCCAAGTTCTTAAAAAAAATCACTTGGTGTCTGGGTCCCCCTTTAGACCAATTGCATCAGAATTGTAGGGCAAGATTTGGAAAGTGCCTACACAACAGTATTTTTTTTTTTAAGCTTTAAAATATTTTTTTCAAGGCTTGGGTGATTTTAATAGGCAGCAAGGTTTGAGAACCACTGCCATAGAAGCTTATAGCTGTTGTCTTCAGAGATGGAGAGCGATTTAATTTCAGTATTTTAAAAATGAAATCTTTGAGGGGTGCCTGGGTAGCTCAGTAGGATAAGTTTCCAACTCTTGGTTTTGGCTCAGGTCATGATCTCATGGTTTCGTGGGTTCGCAGTCCCACTCTGTGCAGAGCCTGCTTGGAATTCTCTGTCTCCCTCGCTCTCTGCTCCTCCCCCCCGACCCCCTCGCACTGTCTCTGTCTCTCTCTAAAAAATGCATTTAATAGAATGAAAAGAAAATGAAACCTTTGTATACTAACCATTATCATCCTCTGTGGTTTTTCTTTTAAGGTGAGAAATTTCATAGTTCTGTTTTCTCAAATAACAATACATTTTGTTTACACTGTTTTATAATTAAAGCATTTTCATATACATTATTTCTCAATGGGACTCAATTTTAGGCATATAATTAGTATCCCATTTTAGAGGAGTAGAGACCTAGGGAGGTAAGGTTTCCGGTGCAGATTAAGAAGTGTGTAAGTACTGTGGCCGGCTGTGTGTGTGTGGTGGAGGCAGACAGACAGGAGGGGAGGGCAATCTCAGTTTTTAATGTGATGAACTTTACTTCTCTTCGATATTCATGGTGTGGTCCATGGGTCCACGGGTCCTGCATGGTCACCTAGAAGCTCCTTAAAAATGCCAAATCCAGGCGCCACCCCAGATCTACTGAATGAGGGCTGCAATTTAAAAAGGTCTCCAGGGCATTCTGATTCTCATTAAGGTTTGAAACTCTCTGCTGTCTACCATGCTGCCTCTTGGAATTCTTAGTCCTCTGGTTTTGTGGTGTCTCTGTATAAATATGTTGCATATATTGATGCTGCAAGGGATAATTGTTGAGAGTTCTTGCCGATAGTGTCCCTTCGGAAGTTTATTTTCCAGTCTTTTCACTGTGACTTGAGGCAATTTCTCCCTCTAGCTCTCCTACAGACCTGGAAATGCACCTCTGATCATTTTCTGCTGCTTTGAATTTTGCAGGTACAAGAGTTGTGGAGGACCCTGGGAGGGCGGATGCTGCTTTTTCACCGTCATAATTTTCCTCCCTTTTCTGAGCCAGAGGGTATAACCTAGGAAAATGCCAATCAGACTCCTATTAAAATTGAGATTCTCAGTGGATGGTGCTGAACTCTTGTTCCTTATTATCATTGCTCACAGTCCATAAGAGGACTTCAGGGATCTCACGCAGTAACATCTTTCCTAATAGGTATTCTCTCTATAAACTCAAATTGAAAAGGTTCCTAGTGATACGCATTTCACTTTCCTGAGCTCTACATTTCTCTCTGCCTCCCTAATGAGTTCCAAACCTGGAGAAGTCCAAGAAGAGACAGAAAGAACTGTTGTGGATGCTGCAGTTCCAAGACTGAGGCTCTCTCTCACAGCCAATGCGGTTGAAATAAACAAACAGGTTGTTTTCTGAATGTAAGGCTGTGTTGAGGTGTTGCCGCAGTGTGGGAAGCGGGCCTGACAGCTTGTCGCATGATCCACTGTGCGCTTTCTGCAACACGCCATCCGCTCTGGGCTCAAATTGCTTTACTGCCTCTCTGTATCTGTCTTCACCCCAGGATTTCCCCAGACTCGGAGAAGTTAATGACTTTGTGTTCGTTTGGGGCAAGAAAATACACAAAGCTCCATCTATGATCCTGAAGTTAATTTGTGGCTTTCCTTTGAGGAGGGAACATGTGCATGCCAACCGTATGCTTGGTGTGTAAAGCAGACATGGTTAGGAATATAGCTAAATTCATGTAAGAAGCATATGAATGTGTAACACATATTAAAAAATACAAACAAAACCAAACACAAACTGGCCCTCATTTGGACCCTTTAGCTCTTCTCTATAGCTCTCATGGAGCACTTCTATTTTGCCTTGTGTTACGGTACATATTTACTCTCTGTACTTGATTATAAGCTGCTTGAAGTGTCTTACTCATTGTTATATTCCCTAATGTGCCTAGCTCAGTGCTGTCCCCATAATACAGCCCATCCCTGGAGTCAATGCATACAGTCGAATTAAATAATGGGGGAAAGAAGAAATATGAGTTGGGGCATTTGGGTTCTGTTCCCATTTCAGACACTGAGGAGAAAGACAATCTGACAGAGCAATAAATATCTCTGGGTTATATTTTTCATCTGTAAAATGTAGACATGGAGGGGCAGATGTTTCTAATCCTTTCTAAGACTACAATTTTAGCATTCTGGGTCGGAGATGTAGAAGACAGCCAAGTAGAAAAGCCCAGTTGGAATCTCAGGTGAGATATCATGATTAGAGATCATGTTTTGGGGAATCTTTGACATTTGGGTCTTTGTTAAACCATGAGAGGGGATGTGATCTCACAGGAAGTGTGTGGAATAAGAAGTGGTTTAATGTGGGACTCCTATCAAACCACTTGTAAAGGACAGACAGGTGAAGAGTCGTCTGTAGTGGCTACTGGTAGGTAATGTTGACGAGTAGAAGGAAGGTCGGATGATCATAGAAGCCTTGCCTCACCTCCTGTGGGAAGGCAGTTGCAGGTTTTGTGGTTGTGGTTTTGCTGCGTGGGTGTGTCTGAAGGATGGGACAGCTTCATTCTACCTCCTCAGCATTGCTTGGCCCCCAGCCCCCCTTTCCTCTCTGTCCCCTCTGGGGTTAAGGAGAGCAATAAATGTGGTCTCAGAACCCCAATCTTCATTCACTTGTGTTCGTTTTTATGTATTAAACTCTCACAAAGGTACCATTTTAAAAAATAGGGGCTCACTGTTAAAATCTTTCCTTTGCAAGTGGATATAGCATAGATCCAAATGCCTTTGTGTGACATCTGAGGACCTTCATCTTTGGGCGTTTTTCACCCAGCCTTTGAAGGCTCTTGTTCTTCCAGTCCCATTCCAAATGTCCACTTGATCCATGTCAAATGATTGTCGGTTCACAAATATCCTATTCTCTTCTACCTGACTGTGCCTTTGATGATTTTGTCTCCCTACCTAGTGTGCTTTGTTCATTTTCCTTTTCTTGCAAAATGTCTATTAAGTGTTTAAAACATAGCTCAAGCATTTCCTTTTTGATTTACCCTCTTTCTAGGTCACTTTGCTGCTCTTACATTTGCCCCAGGAACACTTTGCACATGTTGCCATTGTCCTATTTATCTCCTCCCATTATTGGTTGCCTACACACAGTGGGCTGAGCCCTTGATGGCTGTATTGTGACTAGGTCATGGGCTGAATTTGAACTGAAACTCTCAGGTAAGTGTTCACATTCATAAATCTTGTTCTATTTGAGCGACCAAGTCTACACATTTGTGGCCTCTTCTCATATTCCTGGCTCTGTAAAATGCGCTGCACTAGGATATCACAGAAGCAGAGGAGATCTGTGCAAGTGGCCAGCTGGGTGACTCAGCAAAGTTACATTTGTTCCTGATCTGTAGCAATAATCCAAGGGTATGCGTAAGAGCTGTATCTCTGACATGTGCACTGATTTTATTTCTTCCTAAATTCTGATATTGAACATATTAACAATACCCTGGGTGATACATCACCGTTAAGACATTTTGCAACCCAAGGAAAGGGTTGCCTTCATCCATTCCTTACTAGCAGCTCAAAAAGGTGAATAAACCTGTCACATGTTTGAGTTGCTGTTAATATCATCAATAGCTAGTATATTGTATCACACATAGAAAGACTGAACAACACTTTAAATACATTAGTTTTTCACAAAAATACATCTTCAGCAAAAGTGAATCCTTTTTAAAGAGAGCTTAACCTAGTAACTTAAGGCAATATATAAGAAAATAAAAATACTTAGGACTAAAATGATATGTTTGTACAGATTCTGTTTCATCAATTAAACCTTGCTAACTTTGTTTTTTTCATTCAGTGACGCGGAATTATTATTTGAAGAAGCTGTCTGAAGTGACTTTCTAAGCAAGTTGGTAACAAATACCTTTGGCTTCTTTTAATAACTGCCTTCATTTCTCTGTCATAGCTACCACCAATAGTCTGTTTGGTCTGGTTTGCTGAATTGGTTGTCAATTAACCCAAATGAAAACTATAGGCAACATTTCCTCCAACTTTTCTGTTTCTGCTGGCTTAATTTGTTGTCAAAATACCTAGGTTTCTCTAAAGCTTTGATGTTATTTTTGGTAGGCCTTAATAAGCCATACTGTAACTTCATCTAGTATGAGTGCTAGGCTTCTCCATTTCTTCTCATTCCATTGCCTTTTCAATACCTCATTATGTCTCAGAGAGTTTGAAATCCTTGTGTCTTTTCCTTCCATCAACAGAAAGAAAAAGACTAAGAAAAATATGGCACTAGCCACGTTGTTTTGGAGTCATGCATTTACACATTCCTATCCCCAGAGTATAAATGTTCTCGTTTTCATATTTTTATCTGAGGTATCTGTCATGTTACTTGTCACATGGCTGATGTGCTAAAATATTTGCTGCTCTAAGTCAGCTAGTGTGTTACCCTATGATATTCCTTTGCTATGCAGAAATGACATTCTCAGCTATTTGCTCCTCCACCTTTTCTTTCTTTTGACCCTATTCTTTTTGATCAATATTGTTTACTGTAATTTACATTAAATTCATTTATTCCCAAAGGATCGAATACATTTGTTTTCTGAGACATTTTTCTTACTAAAAGAATTTCAGAAGGGGAACATTCCAGCTTGCATCAGATCCCAAATTCTAAATGAATTTAAGAAAATCTTAAAACATATTGGGGTGCCTGGGTGGTCGGTTAACTGTCCAACTCTTGGTTTCAGCTCAGGTCACGATCTCATGGTTTGTGAGTTCGAGCCGCTCATCAGGCTCCATGCTGACAGTGCCGAGCCTGCTTGGGATACTCTCTCTCTCCCCCTCTGTCTGCCTCTCCCCTGCTTGCTCTCTCTTTCTCTGTCAAATAAATAAATTTTTAAAAAATTTAAAAAAGAAAGAAAATCTTAACACATATTAATTTTTTAATAAGAAATGCAATGATCAGGTACTCAGATTCTCTAAAGCCCTGAAAAACTTTCTACACTTAGTCAAAGATGGAACATCTTCATATGATTTTTCTCCCTAAGGCTTTTTTGAAGAATTGAGTAAATGAGTACAGCATACATAATCTCTCTTACCTGCATTCTGTAACCAGATATAATGACTAGCTCTTAGGTAACATTTGACCTGTGACTCAATGCAAGCACTGTCTGCCAGAAACACTGCTTCCCAATCAGAAAATCTCCCTTCTAGCTTCTGACCAGCCAGGTTCTGCACAGTTGCTTATATTTGAATTTAGTCCCATTCTCATATAATCGGATCTTTAGGTCCATGGTACTTTTGCTTCCAAAGTGATAGTGGAGTAAAACAACAACGAAATGTTAACTTGGATCCTATCTTCCTCAGGAGACTTACTTCAATGGTTATTCCCGAAGAGAATACTCTCCTGATTTTCCCTCTAGCTCAGTGGCTACACTGCCTCCTTTTTGCATTACTAATATGGCTTCCTCACCTCAATCATTACATTTAGGAATTCCTTGACGCTTGGTTCTGCACTTTAGTTTCTCTTTATTTTCCCCTAAGCAAACATATACTTTATCAGCCATCATAGGGACAGGGCTCACACATGTCTCTGTTTAGCCAAGGCCAGTACTCTGTGCTCTAGGCATATATAGGTGACAGTTTACTTGCCATTTTGGGAGGGATAACTTAAAAGCACTTCAGACTCAACTTGGCCAAACTAAATCTGTGACTGTGCTGCACAAGACTGTTTCTATTTCTCTGTTTCCTCTTTCAGTGAAGAGTCCAGTTATCTACCTAGTAGTACAAACCAGAAGGCTAGAATGCATCCTTTTCAGCTCTTTCTTTCTTTTTCCTTATCAGATCTATCACCAAGTGTTGTCCATTAAATCTCCTAACTGGAATTTTCCACCTTCTCTATAAGTGTGAAACACGCTAGTCTGAGCTACCAGTCTCACTAAATGTTACAAAATGCTACTGCTTTCATCCACCCACCTCTTTTCTTGCTTCCTTGTAATGCTCTCTACACGGTATAGGACATAAATCTATTACCGTGATGTAGAACAGCTATTCTCAGGTCCTTTAGGGATCTATTCAGGGGTTCCACAAGGTCAAAATTATTTTCTTAATAATACTATGGTTTGTTATACTCATTCTTTCTCAGTGGACTGGAATTTTCCATGGCAACCTGACCTATGATATTATAACAGAACAAATGCAGAAGCAGATGTGAGAATCCAGTTCTTCTATGGAGGCAAACATTAGAGGGACTTGCAAAAATATAAAACTATCACTCCTTTCTCTCTAGTTCCTTTTTGTTTTGAGATAGGTGTTTTATTTAAATAAATATCATACTATTCATGTTAATGCGTAATACATTTACTTTTGTTATTTAAAAAAATGGCATTCATTTTTGAGAGACAGAGTGTGAGTGGGGGTGGGGCAGAGAGAGAGGGGAAACACAAAATCTGAGGCAGGCCCCAGGCTCTGAGCTATGAGCACAGAGCCCGATGCGGGGCTCAAACTCATGAGCCCTGAGATCATGACCTGAGCCGAAGTCAGACACTTAACCAACTGGACCACCCAGGTGCTCCTGTTTTTGTTATTTTAATAAACACTAAAAATTTCTCAGATTTAATTTATAAAACAGTAACTGTTGATAGATCTAATGCACAGATGAACAAAGGTTCTTTGAAGTTTTGGTTAACTTTTAAGAGAGTAAAGTGCTCTTGAGACTAACTGCTTGAGAACCACTGTCCTAGAAGGCCATCTATGGCCTGGCCACTCCCCAACTTCCCAAATCCATTTTTCTGCACAGCACACTGCTATTTTTCTGCTCCATCAACCTTGGCGCCTCTCAGTTCCTATTTCTTGTCTGTTTCCCTTCCAATACAGGCACTTTGCCAGAAACTCTCTTTCCCACCCTCTTTATCCAATAAACTTGAAGCAGTTCTTCAGATTTCATCCTCTCGAGTGTCATTTCTGTAGGCAAGCCTTCTCTAATCTTGTTGACTGGGTCACATTTACTATTTTAGGATCTCATGGCATTTGTACATCTCACTCATTATGATTGTAGTAGTGCATTTGTTTCTGCCATTATTTAGTTTATTTCTGAAGGCTCACTAACAAACAATACCATGAAATCAGGAGCCAAGTCTGTTTTTGTTCAGTACCAAAGGTCCAGTGCCTAGCATGGTACCTAGCACCTAGTAGGAATGTATGGAATGAATAAAGTGGATGAGCTGTAATTATGCCACAGGGACAAAAATAGTCCTATGATACATAGTATTACAAAGACTGGGAGTAAAATACAAGAGTAAAACCAAGGAATTTTCAAGTTAGGTAAGAATATCACAAGGATTTGGACAGAAAGAGAGTAGTCTAATGATCCATCTAGAAGGGAGAATAAGGTGAGAAAAGGCCCAGGGATAGACAAGTAATAACCATAAAATTATATTCATTGGGGCACTTGGTTGGCTTAGTTAGTTAAGCATCTTACTTAGGCTCAGGTCATGATCTTATGCTTTGTGAATTTGAGCCCCACGTTGGGCTCTGTGCTGACAGGTCAGAGCCTGGATCCTGCTCTAGATTCTGTGTCTTCATCTCTCTCTGTCCTCCCCCCTGCTCATGCTCCATTCTTCTCTCTCTCTCAAAAATGAATAAACATTAAAAAAAGAGTCTCTTATAAAATTATATTAAGAAGTAAGAACATATTGAAAGGAGTAGTAAGAGACACGATTAGGAAGATAATCAAGATCCAAATCTTTAAACCTTTGGATGTTAACTTTAGGAATTTGAGATTCAAACCATAAACAAACAATGGGGAATCCAGTAAGTGCTTTTGGAAAGGACAGGCAGGGACAGTAGTGCATTTGGGGCACATTCATCTACTAGCAAAGTGTGAGATGGATTAGAACAGTGGTGGGGAAGCTAGTTGGGGAGCTACCTGGACTTCTGCATAAAATTCCTCGGAAGGACTGTGGCCGCACAAAATCTGTTTTCAGAGACCGAGCATGACTTCATGGTGTTGAGATAGAAATTTAAAAATAATAAATCTTCAAGAGAATGGGCTTTCCTTATCACAGTCTTCTAAGCTGTTTCCTAAAGCTAAACAGTGTCTTTATAATACAGAGCGAACACAGAGTTCGTATGTCACTCTCTAGTCCTGTGGTTCTGGAAACATGCACTTCTGTTGCAGTGGGTATTGGACATGTTTCCTCCCTTGAATGAGCTGTAACTGTACACCCAGTCATGTGATGTTTCATACCTTTATGGTGCATTCACCAACAACCATGCTGTAAGTGTCTTCACTCCAGATTGGATTTTTATGTACTTGGAATCATGTCGGAATCAAAACTCCAATAACCTGAACTGAAATGAGAGAGAGACTTTTTTTTTTTCATTTTCTCTTAAACCAGTTTATAGTCAGTTTGCCTCAAGGAATCACAATATCAGTGAACTCTATAAATGGTTGTTGTACAGATAGAGTATGTGCACTGAGTCTGTTTTTGAAGTTGAACAAATGAGAGCATGTTGCTTTATGCCCTAGAACTTTGTTAATAGCTTCCCATGTGGGTTTTCCCAGAGCCTCAAGTGGCTCCACAAATGGGGACTCTGAGAAGAAAAACCTTTAACATTATGGGGAATACCCCCACCCCCCGCCCCATACTAAAAATGTAAAAACCTTATAATTTATCATCTTTTTAAGGTGCTGGAATACATTTGACCCATCCAGTCTGTGAGGACTACAATTTATTTATTGCTTACTCTGGGCTAGTACTACATGGGGTCCTTTGAATATATTCTCCAATTTAATCCCCATAAAATCCTAGATAGCAGTAGTCTTATTTTTATTTGCATTGAAGGAATGATGATTCTGAGAGTTAGAAAGTTTAATTAACTTCTCCAAGTTCATATAGGTAGTAAGTG